CAGAGCCCTCAGCACCCACAGCCCTGGTCACTCCAGATCCTTCAGCCAGTGCCACCCCAACACCCACAGCCCTGGGCACCCCACACAGCCCTCAGCACCCACAGCCCCGGTCACCACACAGGTCCCCCCGCCCACAGCCCTGGTCACTCCAGATCCTTCAGCCAGTGCCACCCCAACACCCACAGCCCTGAGCACTCCACATCCCTCAGCCAGTGCCACCCCAACACCCACAGCCCTGGGCACTCCAGCACCCACTACCCTGGCCACTCTCAGCTCAGGCCACCCCAGCCCTGCCCTGTGCCAGGAGCCCAGCGCAGGCCTGGCCCCACCTGCTCGGCCAACTGATGTTTGTGCTCCGCCGAGGTCTTCTCCAGCTCGGCGATGCGTGTCTGCTGCTGCTGCACCACCGACCGCAGGTGCTTGATGCAGTTGTGGTTTGGCAGCTCGTCTTTGGGCATTTCCAAGCTGTGGAGGTTGGGGAAAGGCCCCACATTAGGGCAGGTCACAGGCAGAGCACGGAGCATCGGCCTGTGAACACCTTTCAGAACAAATCCAGGCACGGAGGACCAGCGAGAGGTGCAGGAAGCTCAGTGCAGTCAGCCCTGATGGTGTGGCAATGCTCTGCCATGCCAAACGGCCCCAGGGAGAGCTATGGGCATAAACCACCCCCACGGCAGCAGGGATGGGATTTCCCTCCTCCAAAGGGAGCAGACCCAGGCAGCCTCGTCCGACCTCTGACTTCATCCTGGGAGACACGATTCTCTCCAGGACAGCAGTCAGTCCCCACCTGGGTGCTGCTCAGGGGAGTGGGAAGGGTGTTGGCACCGAGTGCACGGGCGCTGTGGTCAGAGCTGCCACTCACTGACACACGGGGGACACAGAGCTCACCCCAGGGGGCTGGAACGGCTCTGGGAAGCTCCAGCACCAAGCCACACCCCACCAATAACCAGTGAGTGTGAAGGAGCACGAAAGAAGAAACGAGCCTGTCCACGAGCCCTTCCAAGCCCCACGCCCAGTCCCTCACCCGCATCCCTGCTCGCAGGTCACGGGGCGCTTGGGGTTGTGCTCGCAGTCGTTGAGGTGCGACATGAGGTTGTCGAGGCGCACGACGGCCGTGCAGCCGAAGACAGCGTTGTCACAGGTGATCTGCAGCTTGGACAGCATGTTCCGCATGATGCGCGGCACGGGCCGGAGGTGTGCCACCGTCACCACGCTGCGGTCCACGGGGCACGTCTGCTGCTGCGAGAACCACTGCGTGATGCAGGCATTGCAGAAGGCGTGCTCGCAGTGGGGAGCCTGGCCAAGGGACAGCAGCGATCACTGGGGCTGGAACTGACCACCAGGACCGCCCAGCCCAGCCCAGCCCGTGACCCGACCCCACCTCAGCGGTCAGAGCAGAGCTGAGTGCCACGTCCAGTCATCCCTGGACACCTCCAGG